CCGAGAAATACCGAACATATTTCGGACGAAATATAAAACTGAATGTTGAATTCAAATTCTTTTAAGCTAGATATAGATAAGACTTGAACCCATGTTGAGCACAAAGTTGATAGCATCGCAGCGGAACATTGTTCCCGCGCTGAGCGAGGAGGTCACGAGTTTGATTCGTGCCGGTACTACTGTAGTATATACTTTGTAGTTTCTTTTTTATCACATACATATTCTGAAAAATAAACAAAAAAAAGTTGCGCAAAAGAGGGAACCCGAACAGCGTCCTCACAACGAGGGAAATAGGTGGCAACCACCACGCCACAGCAACGTTTGGTTATATTATAGAGATATCATGCTATTGTAGTATACTTTGCACGTAAAAATTCAAAATTTTCGGAATTTTTTGCTCGGGGTACGTGTTTTCCGTGGGGCAATGAGAATCTTGGTAACCGCCCGGTATCCGTTTTTCTCATGCGGTACCCAAAACCATGGTCATGATGGTCACTTTACTTTGTAAATATTTATCGGGTTCAAAGACATTAAGTAATTTTATACTTCGAAAGAAAGAAAAAATTCCAAGGAAACCAAAGTAGTTTGTTAACATTCAAATCCAATAATAAAATTTTGATCAATTTTCATATGGTTTTTTCTATTTTGGATTTTGTATCAGGTGAAAATTGTATAGCTTTGTTCCACGTTCATATCTAATTTTTTTATTTTTATCTTTTGATGATTAACGTTGCATGGTTGCCCAACAGTTCCACATCAAAGTGAAGATGGCAGAAGTGGTGAAATGAGAGCTGCAACTCAGTAGCTTTGTTCCACATACATATCTAAATTGTTTTATTTTTTATCTTTTGATGATTAGCGTTGCATTTTGATTGTTGCATGGTTGTCCAACACTCTCACGGCAAAGTGAAGATGGAGAAGTGGCGAAATGAGAGCTACAACTCAATAGTGCAGCATCACAGGTAAACTCTTAAATACCATATGAAATCTTGATTTTTTGGTCTTTGTTGCAATACATGCATATGCTATATATTTTGGTTAAATCTGATTATACAACTATTTATTTTCTCCCGTTGCAACGCATGGGCATATGTGTTAGTAATATCTAAATAGTTCATCCCACTATCATATTTTTCTTGACATGCAGTCTATCCACCTCATCACTGTGCCACATCAGCTTTTTCAAATTATTTTTCTTTTCCTACTTTCCAAGCCTCTTCTCCCGATTTGATTGGGCTGTAGTCTTTTT